AGCCAAAGGCTTCGTCCGTGAGCATCGAAGAATTCGCATTCGAAGGAGCAAGAAATGAAGATTATTCTTTCAAACATTCAATCCTTCAACCCCAGAAGCAAGGTGAAGCTGCAATTGAAGATTATGTGACGGATTGCATTGAAGCCTCCTCAATCAGTCTGCTGCTATCGGTGTACCTGCTGAAGTGATCTAGAAGTTTAGTTCTCTCTGATGTTCTCTTTGAAGATTCTCAAGCTGAAAGCACTATCTTCCAAGAATCAGTACGTCAAGCCTCCTCACCCAATGTGCGTTCAATGCCAAATTCTGAAGAAAACCTCAAGTGCTCAAGATGAAGTCATTCATTAAAGATTCATATGTTCATCCTGATGCTGTGAAGAAATCGAAGGTTAAAGCTGAAGCTAAGTTCCCAATGAAGATTATCAAGAAAGCCAGCTAATTTTTAGGGGGAGCTTGTTGGGTCAATTAAGAAAAGAAAGCTATAAACCAAGGGGGAGATTGTTGGGTCAAAATATGGTTTATACTTTACTTTTCTGGGCATTGTATTTTTGTGTAATAATTGTGGAGTTTTCGGCCTAGTTTACGGCCGTAAACACCTTACAGCCGTAAACCCATTTACGGCCCATGTCCACCAAGCCCATATCCAACATGTATAAATAGAGGTGTTAGGGTGAGGAGTAGAGATTGATGAACACTAGTAGTTTACGGCCAGAGAGAAACAGAAGCTTTTATGTGTGTGAATCTTTTGTATCCGGATCTTCATTTATATCAATACATACAAAGATTCATATTATTCTTCTCATTCTTCTCATATATTTTATCTGATATCATCCGTTTGATTGGGATTCCGCACCATCAAACGGATTTGACTGATACACAGGCAGATTAGGGACTTACAGTTGGACCTAATACATACTGATGTATGTGGACCATTCAAAACCGCCAAAAGGGATGCTAATCGGTATTATGTGACTTTTATTGATGATTTTAGTAGATATGGGTATGTCTACTTAATCAAACATAAGTCAGAAATCTTTGAAAGGTTTAAGGAATTCAAACAGGAAGTAGAAAATCAATTGGGAAGGAACATTAAGATGCTTCGATCCGATCGAGGTGGTGAGTATCTTAGTACCGAGTTCCTTGACTATCTTAAGGAGTGTGGGATTGTCTCACAATTGACTCCTCCCAGAACACCACAGCTAAATGGTGTAGCTAAGAGGCGTAATCGAACCTTGTTAGACATGGTTCGCTCTATGATGAGTCGAGCTTCTCTACTAATATCTTTTTGGGGGTATGCCTTAGAGACTGCCGCCCATATCCTTAATCTAGTCCCTACAAAGAAGGTTACCAAAACACCTCATGAGATGTGGATTGGGAAGGTTCCCAATTTGGACCACATCAAAATTTGGGGTTGCAAAGATTTCGTGAGGCGTGAAACTCATGATAAGCTTGAACCCCAAAGTGAAAGGTGTATTTTCATCGGTTACCCACAGAAATCCTTCGGTTACCTATTCTACAGACCCAGTGAGAATGTGGTCTTTGTAGCAAGAAGAGGGGTCTTTCGTGAGAGAGAATTTATAAGCCAAGGAGACAGTGGGAGGCAAATTGATCTTGAAGAAATTCAAGAATCAATTGGTGAAGGAACCTCATACACTAGCAATCAACCTGCGGAGGAAACTCCTGTTGAGCCAGCTGGCGAGTCTGTACCTCCGAGGCATTCCACACGGGTTAGGAACACACCTGCGTTTTATTATGGCTTTCATATTACTACGGAAGGTGATAAATTTATCAGTGATAGTACACTGGTAAATTTGGATGAACCTAGTAGTTTTAAGGAAGCCATGGCAGGCCCGAAGTCTGCTAAGTGGAAGGAAGCTATGGACAGCGAGATACAGTCCATGTATGACAATCAAGTTTGGAACTTGGTTGACAATATACTAGGCCGTAAAACAGTCAGGTGCAAATGGATCTTCAAGAAGAAGACCAACATGGAAGGAAAAGAGCATACTTATAAGGCTCGACTGGTTGCGAAGGGTTTTACTCAGACTCAGGGTATTGATTATGATGAAACCTTCTCGCCGGTAGCAAAGATTAAGTCTATTAGGGCTATGCTAGCCATTGTTGCATTTCATGATTATAAAATATGGAAAATGGATGTCAAAACCGCTTTTCTTAATGGAAAATTGGCTGAGGATGTGTACATGAATCAGCCAGAGGGTTTTGTCAGTGCCGAGTACTCTAATAGAGTATGCAAGCTTGAGAAATCCATTTATGGATTAAAACAAGCATCTCGTAGATGAAATCTTTGTTTCGATGAGAAGGTCAAAGAGTTTGGCTTCTCGAGAAGTGAAGATGAGTCTTGCGTGTATGTCAGATCTAGTGGGAGTATAGTTAGCTTCTTGGTACTGTATGTGGATGACATACTACTTGTAGGAAATGACTTCCCAACCTTGCAGGAGGTTAAGTCCTGGCTTGGGAAGTGCTTTGCTATGAAGGACCTAGGGGAAGCTGCCTATATCCTAGGGATAAGGATATTAAGAGAAAGGAGTAAAAGACTAATTGGACTTAGTCAGAGTACCTACTTGGATAAGGTGTTGAAAAGGTTCAACATGCAGAATTCCAAGAAAGGAGATTTACCGATCCAAAGCAATACCAAGCTGAATAAGACTCAGAGTCCGAGTACAGAGGTAGAGATAGATGAGATGAGCCAATTACCGTATGATTCCACTGTTGGCTCGATCATGTATGCTATGACTTGTACCCGCCTTGATGTGGCCTTTGCTTTGAGAATGGTCAGCAGGTATCAGGGGAACCCTGGCAAGGCTCATTGGACTGCGGTAAATAACATTCTCAAGTACCTGTGGAGGACTAAGGATTGGATCCTTACCCTTGGTAGGAGTGATGACTTAAGAGTATTAGGGTATAGTGATGCTAGTTTTCAGACTGATAGGGATAACTTTCGCTCTTAGTCGGGCTGGGTCTTTACCTTAAATGGAGGGGCAATCTCTTAGAAGAGTTCCAAGCAGGAGACGGTGGCTGATTTAACTTGTGAATCAGAGTATATAGCATTGAGTGAAGCAGCGAAGGAGGCAATATGGCTGAAGAACTTAATCCGAGACCTTGGAGTTGTGCCAGCTATTAGGGAGCCTATGGAAATTTTCTGTGACAACAATAGTGCGGTTGCTTTAGCTAAAGAACCGAGAGATCATGGGAGATCCTGACACATTGACAGAAAATATCATTTCATAAGACACAAGATAGAAGAAGGACTCCTCGTGGCAAAGAGGATATCGTCAGATGAGAACCCTGCGGATCCCCTTACAAAGGGACTGATGAGGGCTAAACATTTTCAGCATGCGAGGCGCATCGGACTGAGGGACGATATTAGTTTTACAGATTAGATAGATTCTCTGAAACTTGTAAAATGTAATCGACATTTGATGATGAATAAAATTGTGATTTATTTATGAGTAAGGAGTTGCTATCATTGTCAATTATTTACAATTGTTTCAGCTTTGCATGTTTTGACTTCCAGAATAATTAATCTATTCAAACCTCCACAATCGGCCATACGTCGGAAGTAGGTGTGAATCCAGATTGTCATGAATTAGGTTTGTAGATGGCTAAAAGTGTTTAAACATGGAAATGGTTGCTACAACATTCATGAGTACTCATAAGTTATGAGTATTGGAATAAACCCACGCTCACTTGTATCTCTTCGTGGAATTTATCTCGAGTGATCGTGAGACAGTAATATCATATAAGTCTTCAAACCTAGAGATATGAGTTGTTACCTATGAGTTGGTTGTGCATTGATTGCACGTAAATGCATCAGTAACTTCATGTTATAAAGCGTGCCTTTGTGTACAATCCAACAAGTAGTAGAACAAGTATATGAGTTGAAGTTTATCTGTTCCTTCTAGAAATAGAAGCGATATCTGGGCCCCTCGATGATTTTGTGTTGACCCATGTACCGGGCTCGGTCAGAACTAAATTGATGTGTTCAGTTGAGCTCTTTGTCAAACGAATTGGAAATCAAGAAACAACTGCCAGACAATAAGAAAGACATAGTTCCATGTGTTTGTCCGGCTAATATCATGAGAACAGAGGATTGTATGATCACTTATCTTAAAATGGCGCTTCATAGTTCAACAGAGTTTTCGAGAGCTACGATTGCTGGTTGGTTCCGAAAGTAATAGGCAAATACAGTTATTAGACTTATCCAAGTGGGATTCTGTTGGATAAGGTGTCTAAGTCCATAACTTATTTGGTATATACTTGACCCGAACCAGCATGGTCCATTTGGGTTGCATTTCATCCAAACTATTTATGGATAATTTTATGAGAGTTATACACATATGATTATTAATATATTATAAGTTATAATATATTAATATGAAGTCATGTTATTTAATTAGTCTTAGTCTTAAATTAATTATGAATTAATTTAGAGATTAAAAGGAAGACTAATTAGATTGTGGGCTATTGGTTTTATATGGTGTGGGCTAACACCCATTTGTTAATGGGCTAGGCTTGTATGGAAGTCCATAGATGATCCATGGAGCTTTTAACCCATGGATCCTTGGAAAAGGAAAGGTCATGGGTTATTAGGGTTTCACCCTAATCATGTACACTATATAAGCATGCTTATGTTGCATGAAATAGCCACTAGTGTGTGTGTTTGTGTGTGGCCAAAAATTGTAGTGTGTATACACTCTCTCAAACTCCTTAAGAATCAAACTCATCAAAAAGGTATGTAATCTCATCTAATTCTTTTATGTTTAAAAGTACCCCATGCCATGTTAGATAGGTTATGAACCTTGGAAAATTATTATTTTGCATGTATTTAGACAAACATAGATCCAAGGTTTATTAGGGTTGCATGCACACTTAGGAAGTGTTAGATTGCTCAAAACCCAACAGATTAATCATGAGCAGTTGAAATACATATGGTTAAAATTATTTTTGCCCTAATGATTGCACGTGTTTCTTTTAAGATTAAAATGGGAGATCTAGAATTTGTTAAGGTTCACAACTCAGCTATTTTGCTTGAATATCATCCTGCAGCTCACAATGATCTAAAGTTCATTGTTGACAGTCTGAAGAAATGTTGTTTGGTCAACACATTGACAAGCAGCCCTGTAATTTATCAGAACCTGATCAAATATTTCTGGAGAAGTGCAGTCGTGAAGAAGGATATCAAAGGTGAAAAGTACATTGAAGCCACAATCTAAGGAAAGACGGTTCAAGTTTCAGAGAGTATTATTCGGGAGTCTCTCCAAATTGATGACAGATCAGAATACTCTATGGAAATTAATGTGCATCAAACTCAGGATGTTCTAGAACATATGGGTTATGAGGGAACATTTCCTCATACCATCAAGAAACTGCTTCCTCACTACTGGAAATATCTAGCTCATGTGTTTGTGAGCTGTATTTTTTGTAGGAGATCCGGTGCGAACGAAATCTCTTTGGCCAACACAAGAGCCATCATAGCTTTAGCCTCGGGAATTGAGTTTAACTTTTCAAAGTTTATACTACATGAACAGGTTCTGAATCTTGAAGGGAACAAGAGAGATAAGGTTTTGATGTACCCAAGATTTCTTCAGATCATCTTCAACGCCTTGCATCCTGAACTGCAGAGAGAGAACGAGACTTTGTCAGTTGGTCCAAGTACATTCGGGTTAATGAAGCATAAAAGAGGAGGAAAATTTGTTTCTGAAGGAAAATTCCCCTTAATCAAATTTGGAATTTTTGAAGAAAGTGATCAATCAGACTCAGAAGATCAATCCATTCCTACAGAGACTGAAGACATTGTGTTTTCAAGCTCTGAACCAGAAATTGAGGAGGTTCGTGATTCTCCTATTACCGCGGTGGCTGAGGAACATGATCATCTACTTCATAAGGAAGATGAAACACAATCTGTTCACGAGGAAGACGATGAAGATCTCTATGGAGATGTAGAATTTTTGAAAGAGATAGACTTCACAGGGATCAGTGATGATATCCCTACAAATACTGAGCTTGATCTTGATGATGAAGAATTTGGTCCTCTTCCAGGATTTGCCAGCGGCTGTTTTAATAAAGTCAATGAAGTTGCTTCTTCGGCAACCAAGACTGGGGAAGGAGATAATGCTCTCAAAAATTTTCTCTCCACATCCAAGCCCATGGAGGTTCCTTCAAGACAAGGAGATGTGAACTTAGAGATTCCTCCCTCTGTTTCAACTATCTCAACTTCTGCTCCACTTAATTCTGAATCATCTCAGCTCCAAACCTCCCAGTCCTCCTTCGAAAGAAGTCAATCAAATACGAGTCTGGAGGTACCCATTGTGAGCAGTGCACATCAAGTATTCTCTACTGTCACCACCACTACGATTTTCACTCCACCAATACAAACTGATGAAGGCCCTAGCACAATGTTTGAGACATGCAGCTCATCCTCTATCCCATAATATTCTCCTACCATACCTTCAATGGATGAAGCTTCAATCAGACTGGCAAAGCATCTGGACCAACACAGTCCAACCCTTTCTTCTCGTAGCAAAGGAATATCTTTCAGAGAAGATCACTCAGGTGATGATAAATCTTCTATGTCAGAGCTTCGAGAAGAGATTAGCGTTCTCCGATAGGAACTGATTGAGAAGACCATCCAGATGGATCAACTCACTTCTCACATTGAAGTGCTTAAAGAAAACGATGAAGAGAAGACAAAGCAGATTAAGGATCTACAGACGAATCTTGGTTCTGTGACAGCTATATACTTCATTTTAAAGAACGTTCTGTATGATGCATTTGGAGATAAAGTCAAAGCCCTATTTCAGCAACCACGCGGAATCGAGGATCCTCCCACGGCCCCCACACAGTCTGCCTCTGACGACCTTCCAGTTGATCCACCTGTTCCTAGAACAACTACAGTTGTCAATAGATTTGAAAATGAACCAGAAGGCAGCAGAGCCCGAATCACAATCAAACAGGGAAATAGGACTGTAACGGCTAACAAAAACGAAGGGTTACTCATTATGAAAAATTCAAATGAAAATCGCAGAGCCAAAGACCCTGTGCTAATAGTGACTGATCTCAAAAAAAGAAAATTTGGTGATGAGTTCGGAGATAGATCGGGAATTCGAATGTGGGCCTTTGATCCCGAGACAAATATGTGGGTTGTGAAAAGGAACTCAGGAAATTATGAGTATTACAAGAGCACCCATGATTTTAACTCATGGACCAAAGTGGATCTTGTTGAACTATCGAGAGCCCCATTCCATAATCCCTCCGAAGATCCCAGTGCTACAAAATTCAAAAGATTTCTTGATAGACAGGTCAAGGAAAACTTTCCAAAAATGAAGACTGCAAGAGCTTTGTACCGAAAAGACAAAGAAATTCTTGATCTTGAATCAAGTGAGCCTATGCAGATTATCCTTTGGCCTGTGACTAAATAGCAGAAGGAAATGCCTATCCCTCAACACTTCCGTGAGGGATATCTTGATAATATGGAATTTTCGGCTTTTGACGATGAAACTGCCACTGCTGCAATAAAATTCAAGGATATAGAACATGTCTTGAGGCTGATCAGTGCTAAAGATCATCGTAGGTTCAGGGAAAGGGATACCCGCACTCTGTCTCATCACCAGATTATATGCAGAAAAGATGTTATGGAGGCGGCTGCTAAAGAGTTCACTGGAATGGTTGCCACCATCATAAATGGAAGACTGTGGATGGGTTCTATGGGAAGGTCCGATTTAAAGTTGTATGAGAAGCCAACAGAGTGACGATCAAAACTGTACCTGCCTCAAACCAAGGGGGGATTGAAAGACTATAATATTGTGGTTTGAGCTAGGCATTATTCCTATATAGATCTTGTTAGGGTGGTAGTGTAGTGGTGACATGATTTAGACTTACTGTGTGTGTAGCCTCCCTCGTGTGTGCAGCTACACACGTGTGTGCGGTCGCACATGCGTGTACGGCTGCACACTTCTGTGCTGGTAAGGGTAGTATTTAAAGGGGGTTGTCATGTGTCAGATGTACTTTTTGATGAATAGTGACGTGTGTGTATTTTCAAGGTGTACCTGAAATTTATGAGCAATAGATGTGTACATGCTTGATGTTATTTCTCTTCTACTCCTTCTACACTCTATTTTGATTGCCATTTTCTTCATTGATTACTGATTTGGATCTATGTTTTGGGACTAACACCTTTCGACTAAGAGCATCAGCCACCACATTCGCTTTTCCTAGATGGTAACGAATTTCGCATTCGTAGTCATTCAACAGTTCAACCCATCGTCTTTGCCTCATGTTGAGTTCCTTTTGATTGAGAATGTGTTGAAAGCTCTTGTGATCAGTAAAGATTGTGCATTTTGTGTCGTAGAGATAGTGTCTCCAAATCTTTAAGGATAAAACGACTGCTCCTAGTTCGAGGTCGTGTGTAGTGTAATTGACCTCGTGCGTCTTGAGTTACCTCGAGGCATAGGCAATGACTTTTCCTCTTTGCATTAGCACACATCCAAGACCTTGATTTGATGCATCACAGTAGACCACGAAGTCTTCTGTTCCTTCCAGCAAGGACAATATAGGTACGCTACATAGTGCTTGCTTCAGTGTTTGGAATGCAACGTCTTTTTTTTCTCCCAATCAAAAGTTACACCCTTCTGGGTCAATGCGGTAAGTGGCATAGCAATCTTCGAGAATTTTTGTATAAATCTTAGGTAATAGCCAGCAAGGCCCAAGAATTGTCGGATTTCCGTTGGGGTTCTTGGAGCTAAGCAGTTCTCGATTGCCTTGATTTTGGAAGGGTCCACATGTATCCCGACTTTGCTAATCACGTAACCTAGAAAATCTACTTTCCGAATTCAAAATTCTCACTTTGAGAACTTTGCGTATAACTTATCTTTTCTTAGTGTTTCCAAGATTTATTGGAGGTGTTGACTATGTTCCTCTTTATTCTTCAAATAGATGAGTATATCATCTATGAACACGATCACAAATTTATCCAGGAATGGACGACACACTTGGTTCATTAAATCCATGAACATCGTCGGTGCATTTGTTAATCCAAAGGGCATTACTACAAACTTGTAGTGGTCGTAACGAGTTCGAAAGGCTGTTTTTGGAACATCTCCTTCCAAGACTCGCAGCTAATGATACCCGGATCTCAAATCGATCTTTTAAAAGTAACTTGCTCCTTGGAGTTGGTCGAACAAGTCATCAATACGTTGTAAGGGATATCGGTTCTTGATAGTGAGATTGTTGAGTTATCAGTAATCAATGCACATGCGGAAAGATCCATCCTTCTTCTTTACGAGCAGAACTAATGCTCCCCAAGGTGAGAATTTGGGTCTGATGAATCCTTTGTTAAGTAGTTCGTTTATTTGGCTGGACAATTCTTGCATCTTAGTTGGCGCTAGACGATACGGAGACTTAGCTACTGGGGTAGCTCCGAGAATTAAATCGATTCTGAACTCGACTTTTTGTTTTGGTGGGACTCCTGGAAGATCTTCAGGGAAGACATCGGGAAAATCGCAGACTTTGTGAATGACTTTGATGTCTTTCGTCTCTTTTTCCCTATCTACTACGTGGGCTAAGAAGGCATGGTACTCCTTACGTAGGTATTTCTAGGCTTTGACGCAAGAGATGATTTGTAAATTGGCACCGGGTTTGTCACCATAAATGAAAAGAGTTCCGCCATTTGGCAAATTTAGGCGAATGACACTTTCGTGACAAAGTATATCAGCATGGTGTAGGCTTAACCAATCCATACCGATGATGACATCAAAGCTCTTTATGGTGATTGGCATTCGATTGATTTGAAATGAATGTTCGTTTAGAGTTAGCGTGCAGCCTATGTACATATCGTTTGTGCTTTTTGTTCTACCGTTTGCCAATATTTTTCCATGAGTGCATGGTAGTTTAATAGTTCCAAAACTGTAATGCATTAGTAGTTGTCATGCCTAGAATAATAGATTTATATATGTATAAAATCACTAAGTAATTTAATAACCATGTAAATCATTGTGTTTTTAATACTTCATGTGAGTTTTATAACCATGCTATTGACCTAGGCTACCTGTAACAACGTTCTTCAGGCATTGGAATGTTATGATGTTTGTCACCCTAGACCTGCCAGTCTAACTGTAGCTAACAGTTTAGGTGCGGGATTTTCATTCTCGTATAGATCTATACAAAAGTCTCACGCTCTCCCTACAATAGATTATGGTATATAATACAAGACTTTAACGGCATACTTGGTAATACGTGAAGTGGAATGTCTCACAAAACATAGTATCAAATAGATTTACATATGAAAACTCCATTTGTTCCTGTATATGAAAGTATTTCCTTGATATAGTACTTATAGTATGTAAAATCGCATGATTTCCTTGTAAACTATACCTATAATAGTTTTTCCAAAAGTGTGTTTCGTTTGTATGGTAAACTCTAGTGTAGTGTCGACTTTGTATGTAAAGTATAACATTTGTAATGAAATCATTGAACATTTATACTCAAAGTATAGATAAAGTGTTTGATATTCATATAACAACATGTTTCATTTCAAAATGGACAAAGTGTTATCGTGATATGTCGCATGAGAATGTTTTCGTATGATAGTTATAAACAACATATGATTGATTATAACAACAAGTATAGCAAAAGATTTATGATATTCACACGAGAATAATCGTGTGTTTACTTGTATCCTCCCCCCCCCCCCCTCCCCTTAAAAGTGTATAAAAGCATTTAAAAAGCATTTTAAAACGTAGTTATAGGGGTATGAATTCACTTGTTAGTTCGAAGAAGGTGAGAGGAAAACCGAGCAGAACTTCGACAGGACAAAACGGATTTCTTGGGATTTCCGGGAGTCGCAGAAGTGTAAAACCTTCCTTCGGGACTTGGATGTCAAGACTGGGGCTTCGGGATGGCAGTAGAGAGAAGAGAATTGAGCACCTAATCCCTAAACCATCGGTTTCTATTTATAGGGGTGAAATCTGAGGTTCACGTTGTGAGTTTGGGTGTCTCAAGTTGTGAGCTCGACCTGCCTCCTCTCGTAGACTTGAAAACTCATTGATAGGCTCTAGAACCCATCATTCACTGGTTCACGTCGTTAGTATGGGTGGCTCATGTCGTGAGCTTCCTGATAGCCTCGAGTTTTGTGTCTCAAACTTGTAAAATCCATAACTTCCGCGTACGAGCTCCATTTTCGATGTTCTTTCTATCCACGCGTAGGCGAGATTATGCTCTACAACTCTCGTTTAGACTCTGTCGGCTAATTTTGACTTTATTTTTAATATTATATTTTTAACAGGTCGGGACAGGAAAAGTACGTTAAAAATCCATAACTTCTTCATCCGGTGTCCGTTTTCATCAGACTTTTTACCGTTGCGCTACTATTGTTGAGATCTTCGATTCTCATTTAGGTTATTTCAGCCAAAAATCCCTCGATCTCTATTTCGAGTTTTTAGCTGTCTACCGCTATCTCGAAACTTAGAAAAACCATAACTTCCTCATACGAAGTCGGATTTTGACGTTGTTTTTATGCACGCTCACGGTTTAGTATAATCCACGAATTTCTTTTAGGTACTTAAGGCTAAAAATTATTTTATTGAAATTTCACTTTTTACGTTTGCCAGTGTTTTACCGGTTTTGGCACGAATTTTCGATTGGTCATATCTTCTTCGTTATAACTCAGATTTTAGTGCTCTTTATATTTCCAAAAACCTTGACATTGCTATCATTTTAAGCAACCCAATAGAGACTTTTGAACATTTTATTTTTGACACTAATTTCATTATATCAAAAGAGATTACAATTCTTGACTTTTTAGGTCATTACATTGTTTCAAAATACCGGGTTGTCACACTTTACGATGGGTCTGTATGATGTCAAAGTTTTCCCTTTATGTTGGTATGTTGTAGACCTGTTTCAAGGTCAAATTTTCTGAACTCTATGCATCTAATATACCAATAGAATTGACATGCATCTTATTTCCTTTGAAAAAAATACTATCAATCTCATAATGTTACTTTACAAGTTATTACTTGTGGTAGACTTCTAATATAATCTCCCTACAAAATACGTGTTGAACCAATGTAATTTAGTTCAATGACATCTGATATATAAGCACTATTGTAGTCTTATCACCATTTCATCTTTAAAAACTTTATAGCTAAAAGATGCCACCTCGTAGATCTAGAAGACAAGTCAACCTTACACCAATAACTTCAACTCCACCACCACCACCGCCGCCACCTCAATTCGATCCTGTAGTTTTCCAAGCTGCAGTAATAGCAGCTATGACAATAGCCTTAACACAAATCAATACTAGTGTTACTAGTAGGGATGGAACCGGTACTAACTCAAACCATGGGGATAGCCACAGACACCCTGGGGAGTGTTCATATAAGGACTTTACCAACTATAAACCCAAAACCTTTAATGGGAGTGGGGGAGTCATTGCTCTAACGCAATGGTTCAAGAAAATGGAGTCAATCTTCGAGGTTTGCTTATGCCCAGAAGGGAGCAAAGATAAGTTTACTGCCTGCACCTTCTCTGATAGGGCCCTCACATGGTGGAATGGCCATGTCAAGTCACTTAAACTTATAGTGGCGAACTCTATGGGGTGGGAGAACTAAAATCACTAATAATGGGGGAGTACTGCCTGAGGGGCGAGGTACAGAAGATGGAGTAAGAACTGTGGAACCTTACCATGAAAGGTTCTGACATAGTAGTGTAAACTACTAGGTTTAGTGACTTAGCATCTCTATGTCCCGGGATG